GCCACCATATTTCTATTTTGGTGTTCACCATTGGTATGATTTGCCTGCATTTTATTGCATTGTGCGAGGTTTTAAACTTGAAAGAAATCATCCATAGAAACTGATCATCTGTGTCATGTGTCGCACTGGAAAGGCATCCAAGTAAAGCTGTTTTTAGTTTCTCCTTATGTTATAGGGTTGTCAGTTCAAGCAACAGCTTGCAATTTGCAGAACTTTTTGTCTATTTAGTATGTGGTGGCAAAAAGGAAATATGAAACTCAAGAATCTTAATTTTCGTGGTTTTAACCATAAAGGTTTGTATGGCATTATTTTTACTTCCAACTTATTTCTGGGAACTGCAGGCCTTAGAGTTGAATAGTCCATATAGAAACATAGAATCCTTAGAGTTGGAAGGGACCTCTGAAGGCCATTTAGTCCAACTCCCCTGCAGTGAACAGAACGCTTTAAAATAAAAATAAGGAAAAAAAACAGACTCTTGGCACTTTTAATAGTTCAGTCACTCAGTGGTTTTTTGTTTTTTAAACTGACTCCATTAAGTGCACTGCTGTCCTGGAGCTGCCTGAGATGGGGGAGCAGAGTGTGAGTGAGTGAGTGCACTAGCTGAAATCTCTGTAATAAGAGATGTCATCTTGGTCCAGCACCTGGTGGAAGTATAAAACTTAGTTTAAATTCTCTAGGTCATGCTGTATGACTGGCTGCATTCCTTTGGTGGCCAGAGAGCTCTTCAAAAGAGGTGAGATGAGAATTGTACAAAACTTGTGAATAGTCCTGAGGGCAAACAAAACCTGAGATAATCCCATATTTGTTGAAACTGTTTGAATTCCAGGGCGGTGACACACTGGAACAGGTTGCCCAAGGAGGTTGTGGATGCCCCATTCCTGGAGGCATTCAAGGCCAGGCTGGATGTGGCTCTGGGCAGCCTGGTCTGGTGGTTGGCAACTCTGCACATAGCAGGGGGTTGAAACTAGATGATCTTTGTGGTCCTTTTCAACCCAGGCCATTCTGTGAAAAAAAAAAAAAAAAAAAGAAGATCCTACAAACCCACAACCTTTTACTACATTTTTCTTTATCTGTTGTGTGGTAAAAGTAAAATTTCCTGCTCTAAATTTAAAAAGCACAAACCAAATTCTTCAAGCTGTTTCTGAGAATTAAGCTGGCAGGGAAGAAAAATCCCATTTCTGTAATGAACAAACATTTCAGTAATCAGGTTAGCCTTGTTAATGCCATCTGTATTTTAGAGGGACAACTTAAGACTTACAAGAGATGACCTCCTACATTTCCTTGCACATGGGTGGGCTGTACTTCTCAGAAGCCATAATTAGAATTGAATGTGGGAGAAATAGAAGGTGGCAAGGGAAAACCTGGGAAACGGTGTGCAGCCAGGAGCTGAGATTAGGTGAGACATTGGGTGTGAAGTGGAATGGTGAAACTGAAGTTGCACGGCTCTCACTGCTGAACACCTGGGTGGTGAGAAGGAGGTTGTGAGAAAGACAAGGTGCAGCTCAGCCTGGGATACAGAGACACAAAAGCATTGAATGGGCAATTAGTATGCTGGGCTTGAGCAAGATGAGGGGAGGTGCTGGGATTGGGTTATTTTGTGGCAGCAACGCCGTGGGAACTGGGAGCGGGATATGCAGAAGGATCGGAAAATCCCAAACGCTGAACCAGCTGTCTTCCAAGAAGTTTGAAAAATGAGGAATTATTCCCTGTGTGGGCAGCAGCAGTTGTGATGGAGGTATCCAACTAGTCAAGATACTCTGCAAAAGCAGAGTTACAGCACCTGTGTGCCTCATGAGGCTGAGTCCGGACATTCTGCTTGTAACTTCATGGAAACATGCTATGCAGAAAAATTAAACAGCAGCTCTTCCTCTTGCCAGTTATTTCCAAGGGTATCTCTTGCTTATGGCTGTGATTATAATATAATGTTCCAGTTTGAAGCCATTCTCATGACAGTAGATTCTGCTGGGGGAGGAGATGGGGAAGGGCCTGCCAAAAGGGGCATGGGGGTAGCGGTGGATGGGAAGATGGACATAAACCAGCAGTGTGCACTCGCAGCACAGAAAACCAGCCGTACCCTGAGCTGCATCCAAGGAAGTGCGACCAGCAGGTCTAGGGAGCTGATCCTGCCCTTCCACTCAGCGCTGGTGAGGCCTCACCTGGAGTACTGCATCCAGATGTGGAGTCCTCAGTACAGTAGAGACATGGAGGGTGTCCTGTTGGAGGGCATCCAGAAGAGGGCTACAAAAATGATGTAAGGGGTGGAACACCTCTTCTACGAGGACAGGCTGAGAGAGCTGAGGCTGTTCAGCCTGGAGAAGAAAAGGCTCAGGGGAGCCCTGATAGTGGCCTTTCATTATCTAAAGGGAGGCTGTAAGAGGGAAAGGGGCAGACTCTTTAGCAGTGTCTGTTGTGACAGGACAAGGAGAAATGGTTTCAAGCTAAAAGTGAGGAGGTTTAGATTGGATGTAAGGAAGAAATTTTTTGAAGTAAGGTTGATGAAGCATTGGAACAGACTGCCCAGAGAGGTGGTGGATGCTCCAACCATGGAAACACACAAGGTCAGGTTGCATGGGGCTCTGAGCAGTGTGATTTGCTGTAGGCATCACTGTTCGTTGCAGGGGAGATGGACTACATGACCTTTAAAAGTCCTTTCCCACTCAAACAATTCTGTGTTTCTATAAGGGATTGATTGTTGCACTCTATTTATGCCTAGGTTTTCCCCCCGGCCTACCTGCTTGAGCTGGCTGTGGAACAGGCAGTTGGATGTACATGTCATGGTAGGCTGCAGCAGGGAAGGAAGGTGGTACAGCAGAACAGTCAGTGTGGGCTGCAGGAATATTCTTCGCTCCTGGCTAAGGCAGAAGGCAGAATCACAGAGTGGTCAGGGACTTTTCCTTCTGCAGTTAAACTCTTTCGTTTTAGGGGCGTGCTTTGTAGGAAAGCACTTAATTCTCCCCCAGGGATCTCAAGATTTGTTTTTCCCAAGATAGATATAGAAAATAGCCTGTAAATGGCATCCTGATGAGGTCAACAGAATTAGTAGGCTAGAGGCTATCGTACTGCGTTTCCTGAAGTGAACTAAATTAAAGGGTGTATGTTACCACATATCTGGAGATTTCATCACTATGTGATGGGAAAGCACGTTTCTGGTGTTTCTGAAATGTCTTGGATATTGCTTTATTTACTTTAGTGTTTATTTGCAGATTGTCTTCCTAATGAATGGAGTAAAGAAGGACTGAATACTTTCGGTGAAAGGGAGTAACTCAGATACTGCTATATATTTGGAATGTGAGCTGGTCCTGCAGCAGTCCATTCAAATGTGGATGTGTTGTAGCTCTCTTGGACAGCTAATGTGTTTATCTGTCACCACCTTTGAGCTGGTATGGACTCAGAGTAGAATTTGAGATGCCTCGCATGGTACTGTGATCACAGCAGACTGCAGTTAAATGAGAAAATGCATGTATCTATTTATATTCCTTTTAGAGCTGTTCTGATGCTGGCGTTAGTTTTGGAAAAAAATAGTTTGCCCGTGTGTAACTTGAATTATGTGATTGCAAACTTTTAAATTAAATTTTTTTATCATTCTTACAGTACCATATATCTTGTAAAGTACTTGTAGGTTTAGAAGTTGAATGATGTTCTACAAAAAAAACCCAACATCCAAATTAAAGACCCTTCTTGAAGCTTTAATTAATCCCAATCATGGTAAGTGAATGACACATGAGAGAGTTGCTTAATGCTATTTGTGTGGTTACTCCAACTTGTGAAATATTAAGCTTGCTTTACCTGCCTACACGATGCACTTCCCTCTCTCTTCTTGTGGCTGCGCTGCCCTGTTCAGCAAAGAAAAGGGCAGTGTTTGTTAAATAAAATAGATGTCAGTTTGCTATGTGACAGCATGAACTGCAGTAACTTACTTAGTACTCTGTCATCTAGTCTCTAAGTCATCTTTGTTTCTGAAGTGCTTTGACCACAACTAGTAGTTTTTCTTCTTTTCTGGCTCACTGCTTTCCAAAAATGGAACATTGCTTATTGCTGGGGTGGTTTTGGCCCCAGTGCAGCATGCTGCATGTCTTTGGATAACATCACTTTGTCACATATGGCCACATCTTCTGGGCTGAAGACGAGTAATGATGAGGTGCTGCTGTGTCGTGGATCTTGCTTTTGTGTAGCTGTGACAGTGCGTTTTGACAGCTGAGTGTTCACACCTGACCTCCTTCCTCTGATTGCTGACTTCTTGGCACTATTTTCAGCACATCATCCAGATCTCTCAGTATAGCTGTGTGTGGGGACATGGGCCGACATGGGGGACACCCGCCACGCTTTGGATGTGGTCTTACATAACTGCTATTGCAGCCGAATTCCCAGTGGCCTTTTTTCTGCTCAGTAATTTTACAAAACAGCATCTGTGCATGCAATCACCTGCTTTAATTTACTTCAGCTCTTGTAATTGGTTACGGGGTACAAAGTCTCAATGTGGTGCAAAATTGAATAATGGTTTTATACTTTTGTAAGTATACTTATATACTTTTATACTGCATGAAAGAACTGTGAGTTTGGTCTTTCAACTCTGCCTCTCTTTAATGTGTTAATGCCATTTTTTATGTCACACTATAACAAATGAGATTGTATTAAAACTGTCTGTTACATCTTTCTCTATTTTTGTTTTTTTTTTTTTTTTCCTACGGATTTCTCAAACTTTGCTTGTTTACATTGTTTTTCTTTGGGCTGATTATATTATTTTATTTTACTTTAGAAGAGAATTGAACTGTTTTCAAGAACAAGGTTGTTTTAGCTCTGTAGGCATCTCTCTTTTTCTCCCTAGCCCATGTTCCTGTCTTTGTGGTCGTGAAAGATGTTGGAGTCCCTGTGTTAAGGATATACCTTTGTCTCCCAGGTTTAAAACCCTTTTTAATTTGGATTTGACACTTCTTTGGGGAACAGAGGAAAGGTTACAGTTCTGCACGTGTTCAGTAACAGGTTTTTGTTTTTATGTGCAGTGATGAATATCAGATCCATGCTGAGCAGGAAGATGCTTTCTGAAACTTCATTTTGGGATATTGACAAGAGTAGCTGCGTCTGAGCCGGCACTGGGACTGGGAAAAGTTCTCTGCTGTTGTCATATAACAATTTTATTGGCTTCCTCAGGAAGAAGAATGAAATATCGAGCAAGCAGGAACTGATGGGAGTCTGCTGTGGGAAGGGAGGTAGGGAAGATGATAATTTCTTACATTACTTGGGAGAGACTGAAGGCAGGTGGGAGAAATGAGGACGAGGTGAGAAGGTCTGTAGTTAGGAGGAAACGAATGACTGCAGCAGAGAAGAATATCTTGGAGGAAATGGGAACCAGTAGCTAATGAGAAAAGGAGGAAGAAGAGGTAGAGTTGTATCTGCAAGCAAGCAGCCTGAATTGACCGAGTGAAGATCAAGGGAGAGGAGTGGGTGAGACTGTGCAAAAAGTGTGGGTCACAGAGGCCAAAGCACGCTGTGTTGTGACGTGCTGAGGATGAAAAAGAAATCAGACTGGAACTGTGGGAGTACCAGCAGTGAGTGGTAAAGAAATCGAAGCTTGTAGTTATGAGGAAAATAGCAAGAATGAGGTGAAATTTGGGTCATGAAGCTGTGTCTGCAGCATCACAAACATGAACCGCGCAAAGAGGGGAGGTTGCCTTTGTGACACCATGGTTCTGCTGCTCCTCTGCTTTCTGCCTACAGTGCTTGTTTTGAGCTCTTCCACTGGCCAGCTCAGCAGAAGGAACCTGCTGGAGCAGGTAGCGAGCTGAACTATGCTACAAAGGGGTCTTGTGACTGATCTACTGCAGTTGGGGTGGGGGAAGGAGAAGGAGTGTTAATGTGTCAGCAGTGGGCTGTTAAACCTCGTGACTGAGTGAGAAAAGAAGCAACTGGAAGCAAAGAGCAGCAGGCTTGGACTGGAGCAGTCACAGACTGGGAAGAAGGGGTCAAGTGTGAGGGAGAGTTTGGCAGGAGGATCAGCCCATTAGGAGCATTCCTTCTCAAAATGCAGAGAAGACCCATGATTTTTCAGTCACGCCATGTCTTGCTGTCAGCAAATATCTGTAAAAGCCAGAGGAGAAGCACAGATCTGTGTGGTAATAGTATGTGAACATCCATTAGTAGGAGTGGAAGAGATGTTTGTGGTAGGCCTAAGGGTCTGCTTCTGATAAGCCATGGTGTAGTTTGAGCGCGATGGAGTTGCTCCTTTATTTCAAGGTGTGGGAAGTTATGGTATAGGATAGTAATGCCTTCTTAAGGCTGTAAAACAAACAAAACATACAAAACAAACACAGGTGCACTGTAATTTTGCATTTACAAATATACATTGGTTTTTTTTCTTCGTGTCTCTATGCTAGCAGAAATAAAGAATGAATCATACAAAAGATCTCATGACTGCTTTGTTTCTTATCTTAACCCCGTGCCTTACTGTGCCCTATCTGAGTTCTTATCTGAGGAACTGTTGATTCCCATAAGCACCGTGTGAGTGATCTGCAGCGAGGTACTTCTCTTCATATGTAATTAATTTCTCACTCTGGTCTGCATACAGGCAGTTGAAAGATGAGAGTTTAGAAACAATTCAAAAGCAACAACAAAAGCCGCTTAGCAGGACGCATCTAGATTATTAGCCTGGCAAAATACCATTCCATATTATGTTTGTCCTTATTCTGCCGATCTGTAAATGAGCCCCCAGGAGCTGAGTAACTGAGGAAAACACAACTGCAGAGTGCTGTGTAACGGATGGGCTGATTCTGACATGTTTTCCAGGTTGCTGTGTGTGCCTTTACAGTGACGTCGTTCTCACCCTCCATCACAGAGTTGGAGGAGTTGGAAGGGACCTTTACAGATTGTCTCATCCAACTCCTCTGCGTTGAACAGGGACTTTTTGCACTTAACCTCTCTTGCCCACATTAAGCACAGACCCATTTGTAGATGTGGTCTACCCTATTTGCTACAAAATATGTGTTTCTAATTTACGTCCCTGAGCTGCTGTTGAAGTGCTGTCCGCTGTTAACAGCTTCTGGTAGATTTTGATAGGGCTCCTTTCAGCTCTGGTTTTGGGCTTGTAGAGTTTTTTTGAGTTAAGAACAGCAAATTTTGCAGATCCGATACTCGGGTGAGACGGAACAGTTTTGCCAGTCTGTGTCACTGGTAGTACTGAACGTGCTTTAACGTAGTTGAAGGTCTTTTGGTATGTCTAAGTCTGGAGCTGTAAAGGCTAAGATGTTTCTCCTAAAATGTATTCTTACCCGTTAAACACAGTATCAAATTAGTACAGCAGTGCAATATTCAGTATCCGTGAAAAATATGAAAATACCCAAGCAGCACATCAGAAAAGAAAAAGGCTCTGTGTCCTGTTAATGCTATTCTCCTTAAAAGAGGCTTTCTGCTACAAGTTAGTTCAGTGTGTGTGATGTGTCAGGAGTTCCTGCTTAGCCAGTAGGTATCCCGTTTCCCTAAATATGGGTTTTATAAAATACTGAGTATCTGTATTTGCTTCTCTTCCTTAGCAAAGTATTGACTGATGTTTACTCAGCATGTCTACATTAAGCAGCAGGAGTACCAGAGATGACTGCAGAGTCTAATGGCTAGTGCAGAAGCCTGAGCTGTTATTTCTGGATATGTTGTTACAATAACATAATTCTCATGGAGATAGGTCTTATGTGGTGTTTGTGTGGAATCTTTGAGGCAATTTGAGGCAATGGCTACACAGTCACCTTGATCTCTTTGTCTGCAGAGCAACTCCTTCCTAATCTCATCTTTGTGGTTGCTATCGCACTTTGTATGGCTGCACAGACAACCAGGTTATGGAGCTGGCAGCTTCAAAAATGATTGTTTTCCCTTCTGTTTATCTTAGAGTAGATTTAGCAGGCTTTTAAGCTGCAGCAAAGCAGCACAGACTTAAGTTAGATTAAAGTTCAAGTTAGCATGTAACTGTGACTTGACCTGTCATTTAAGTGTATTAACAGGTGTAGGAAATGGCTGTTTTCCGCCCTTGGGATTTGCTCTATTTTTTCATAGAACCGTAAAACACTCTGGCACCCACAGAGATCATGGAGTGCAGCTTCTCGCTCCAGGCAGAGCGGTGTTCAGTGACAAAGGGCCAAATTCAGAAAGCTGACGTTCCATGTGGCATCACTGTCCTGTGGAATTCCAGAAATTCATCTACATTGGGAATTGCTCTTTGCTAATGAGTTCCATTACTGGGAATTTACGTATTGGTTTCTTTTAGCAATCTTCATCTTAGTTTTAATTTTGCCAGAACTCCCTATGAAAAAGCGCAGAAGGATCTGGGTACAGAGGGTCTGGTGTAGCCTCTTCAAAAGTTGAGTGCTGATTGCTGCATACCAGGAAAAACAAACAGTTCTTCTTGTTCTATCTTCTTTACATTTGCATAATTAGATGATGGATTTGATTTCAGGACTTTTTTTTCCCCCTCTCTTATGCAACAGGTTAGGCAAGTTCTTATTTGCATTTATAAAATATGCTTGAGAAAGATGAAAGTGGTCTTGGTGCAAATGCAGTCTTCATAGATACTCTGAGCTTCCAAACAACCCTATTTTATTTCAAGATGCAAAGTTAGCTGTTTCATAACAACTGCCTCTGAATTTTGTAAGAATTTCTCTATATCTATATTCTGATACTTAGTAAATAATGTTTGGTGTGGTGTAAAGCAAAGCTGGTTAAAATAACAGCTCTCCTATTGTGTTAGCATGACTTGGCAGCTAATGCTAGATTCTGCAAGCACTAAGCTTAAGGCCTGCTCTGTTTTATTGTTGCCTCATGACATCAGGTGGAGTGTTCCTTGTAAAAGGCATTGATGTTTGTTACATTTCCAAGATAGAGCTCTAAACGAAGTGCTTTGAAAATGACTGTTAACATTTTTTTTCATGGTTTTTTGTTTGTTTTTCTTTTTCCTGCTACAGGTGTGATGGACAGGTAGCAGAAGATTTCACTTTGATATCAGGGAATCAGAATGACCGAGTGCTTCCTGCCTCCCACCAGCAGCCCCAGTGAACACCGTCGGGTAGAACACAGTGGGGGTCTTGCTCGTACTCCCAGCTCTGAAGAGATCAGCCCTACAAAATTCCCTGGGTTGTACCGTACTGGTGAGCCTTCGCCACCTCACGACAGCTTGCATGAGCCTCCAGATATAGTATCTGATGATGAAAAGGAGCATGGGAAGAAGAAAGGAAAATTTAAAAAGAAAGAAAAAAGAAGTGAGTAGGCGACCTCTTATCTCATGCTTAAGTCCTTTTTCTCTGTTTCTCAAAATTCCCTGGTATTCCCAGTGTTGGCTTTATTGTTGTGGTTTCTTCCTCTTTAAACCTGTTTAGGTGTGAAGGAAGTGAACTTACACAACACACACTTTGTGCAATACCTGTTTCTCTTCATGAAAAGGACTTTTTCGTTGTTGTACAGGCAATGAGCACATGCCAGAATTGCTGATAAACTGCCTTTAGCAGTGTGTTGGTAATTGCCTGGCGTGATAGTCCTATAGCATTATCAGTTCAGATCCTGTGTGGAGATTTCCAAGTGTATTTCCAAATAGATGCTATTTGAAATTTTAGCTGAAACACTAGTGAAAGTAAAGCTCTAAATTTGACCTGAATTTTACACTTCTAAATTTGAAAGACTTGGTTTAAACAACATTTAACTTGTCTCTTTTTTCATGCCTTGTGTATTCAGTGTTTGTTATTACTTAACATTTCAAGCTTTCGTATGCACACTGTACCACTCATTGGAGACTAATAACCTGCATCCTTTTTTGCATTAGCTTCTTAGTTTAGTCTAATCATGCAGTTTTCTCCAATCCAATTCCAACCCTCTAAAACCTAAGTATCACAGCCACCCAATTCTTGACAAAGCTTCACAATATTTTTCCATGTTTTACATTGCCTTTGTACATGGCCCAAGTGCTGGATGTTATGGATGCCTTTGTACCTCTCTAATTCCTAGAAGTGAAACTGGGAGTACCAAAGCCAATGAGGCAGCACACAACATTATGGCTTTTTGGAATGAATATGATGACCATTTGTAATAAACATGCACACATTCAAATAATTACTCATTAAGAATTTGCAGCCGCTGCACTACTTTTAATCAAAGTGATTTCCTGGATTGCAGGAATTGTTGCTTCTACCACAGTTCAGAAGACCTGTGCCTAAAGGGTACTGTAACTCAAAACCATGTTACCCTCTAGTTAAAACTAACAACCAAAGTTCCTACAGGTTTTAAGAAAGCTTATACCTTATATATATACTAATACTGAATTGCTGATTCTCTGGGCAGCCTGGTTGGCGACCCTGCCCATGGCAGGAGGTTGAAACTAGATGATCTTTGGGATCCTTTTCAAGCCAGGCCATTTTATGATCCTATGATAAATTCTGTATTAGTTGGTTCTAAAATAAAGCCATTGTCTGTAGGGCTTTTCTTGTCTTTGCAGATCAGCTTTGGTAATGCTGCCCTCCTGACTCTAAATGTATGCCGTGAATGCCGTGTATGAATTTAGAATTGTGAGAGATCAGCATTATATACAGTATGGCTTTCTTTGTGGTGTAATCTGCATGTCTCATGGCAGGAGTCAGACTGAAAACTGAAGAGGGAAAATGCTACTTCAGCAAGTACCTGCAGATCTGTACACTGCTAGCAACATAACTGCTCTTTTCCACAAGAGATTATAACACATTGTACAGCTGATGCAAAGCAATTTTTTGTTAGAGGAGTTTAGAGGTGAAGTATAAAAATGACATACATGCAAAATGCAGGAACAGTCACATCTTCTCTTGCAGCTGTAACATAAAAAGCATTCAGCGTGTCCTAACCCTATTGTATGTATGTCATGTAATTACCAGTCAGATATAGGATTGAGTTGAATACAAAGCTTCTGGTATCTCTTGTGCAATCCAAACATGGTGATTTCTGCAGATATACCCAGAACATTCTACTTATGTAATTGAACAGGGGTATCTGGTGGCTTTTCTGCCCGCCTGTTTTGACTTTTTGGACAATACACAACCTGCTATGGTTATGTAATTTGGTGTTTAAACAACTACTTGTTGATCACTTTAATGAGAAACATTTGATGCCTTCACCTGTCTTCAACACTGATGATGGGCTCTGTGAGACCCCCAGAGCCCTGAGCTGGAGGACTATGACTGCAGTAACAATAAACTCCCAGCCAACTCTCAAGTTGGGGTTGGAGGGCTATAGTAAATGAGGTTACATCAGGCTGGTGGGCATCACTAGTGGGGTGCTGTAGGCCTCTATTTTAGAGCCAGTTCTCTTTAACGTTTTCATCAATTACTTAGATGTAGGACTTCAAATTATATCGGTAAGTTTGTGGACAATGGTAAATTGGGAGGAGCTGTTGAATCCTTTTGGGGCAGAGAGGCCTTGGAGAGAGATCTTGACAGATGGGAGGAGTGGGCAATCACCAACCACGTGAAGCTGAACAAGAGAAGTGCCGAATGCTGCACATGGGATGGGGCCAACCCAGATAGGTGTACAGCCTGTGGACAAGAGGCAGGAGGGCAGCCCCACAGAAAGGGATCTGGGGTTATGGCTGACAGCAACTCAGACCTGAGCCAGCAGTGTGCCCTGGCTGCCAGAAGGGCCACCCACAGCCTGGGCTGCACCAGGCCCAGCACTGCCACCGGGCAGTGGGTTGTGTGCTCTGTGCTGTGCCACCTCACCTCCAGCACTGGCTGCAGGTTTGGCCCCACTGTATAAAAAGGGCATCAAACCATTCAAGGGCATCCAGAGGAGGGCTACAGTAACAATGAAGGATCTAGAGTGCGCCATGCAAATTTAGGTCCCTGTGTTTGCTCGGCACAGAGCAGAGGAGCTGAGGGGAGGCCTGACGGCGGCTGCAGCTCCTGACAGGGAGCGGAGGGCAGCGCTGAGCTCTGCTGTGTGTGACAGCGACAGGGCCTGAGGGAACGGCATGGAGCTGTGTGAGGGGAGGGCAGCTGGGGGTGAGGGACAGGGGCTGCAGCACAGGGTGGTGGGCATGGAACGGGCTGCACAGGGCTGTGGGCACGGCCCTGAGTGCTGGAGTTCAAGGAGCGTTTGGAGAACAATTCTGGGTGGTCCTTTGTGGTCCTTTGTAGAAGTTGTGCTCAATCCTTGTGTCCCTTCCGAGTTGGGATATTCTGTGATGTAATGTAACGTTCTACATTTAAAATTACCTGATTTATCGCGTGCTTTCAATTATTTTTCTTCTGTATAAATTTGGGTTGTATTTCAATATATTGTGTCTCTGGTGAAAGAGGTGCTGTAATATTATTACGGGAAGTACGGTTACTTCTAAATAAAATTAGCCTACTCTGGAAGACATAGAAACTCCCTTGTGGTATGGGTGAGAGATTCTCTGTGAATCTTTCATTAGTATACATTTATAAACTTACGTTGCTGAGACAAAGTAGGCTGGTTTTGTATGTGACTTGCTGCTTCATGTCTTCTCGTGAAGTCAAGAAATACCAGTTTCAGTAACGTGCTGTTACTGGTGTTACTGAAGGACTTGAAGAGCATTAAGAATTTGTTTTGCAGCATTGAGTGTTGCAATGTGGTGCTTTGCTTATTGCTGGAATCAGCCTCCAAGTGCAGGCTCCTTCTGCTGACTGGCACTGTGTGTGCTGACACTGGGCATGGTGTTGGGAAGAACCCCACTTTGTTAGATGGGACACTGTTACAGCTACCCAGGTGGAGGCGTTGAGGACAGATTGTTCCAGGCTCCCTTTGGTGAAGATTTAGATTTTTGCTCCGGGGTGACATCTGGGAACCCCATCTTAAATCTGTGCCAGCCCCATCTCGTTCTGACAGGAAGTGATGGTGAGGTGTACTGCTTTGTCCTGCACCTGATACATCAGTGCTGTCCCTATCCCAGAACTGAATCCTTAGCTTATGCATTGCAGATTTCCCTACCCATTTTCATTTCTAGTTTACAAGAAGAGTAAGCAGTGATACAGCGATATGGGGAGGTCAAGACCTGGTTGCTGTTTGTTCTATTTGTTCTCCAGTAAGTCTTTCTCCATTCTTCCATGGAACATGTGTTTGGTTGTCCTAGGAAAGAGTCCAGGATGGGAAAGCTGGTCAAGTGATTGTAGTTATTTGATTGTAGTCCCACGTTTTAATACATTTCATATTTTTAACTATTAAACACTACTTACAAAGCATATAAGAAGGCTTCAAAATATAGAGAGCTCTTTGGATGTGCTGAAATTCTGCTGGTAAACTAGCTGCAGCTTTTGGAACAGGTGAATAAAGGTTGTTTTGCACGAAGTGTCTCGCCTGCAGACATACAACCTCTCATCTTTCCATTAGGCTTTCTCACATCACTTAAGGAAGGGTGTAATTTTCCACCAACTAGGTCTGTTCAGTTAGAAACAACACTTGGCTGTCACTGTGCTTCATTCAGGCAGAGGCACTGTCTACAGGTGATGGAAGAGTGTCAAGACATCTGTATAACACTGAGGCAAAGAGCTTATTTTCCACTGCACTGGGGGACGTAGGCCATGCAGGTGACATGCAGGTGAAATGCCTTCTTTGTTGAACAAATTTCAGACTTGCTTTCTTTGGGGCACACTGCGTGTAAAATCGCAATGAATTGACTTTGAAGTTGCATTGGTTTCTATGTTGTTGGTTTTGGTTGGGGGTTTTTTGTTTAGTTAATGGAGTTTTTTGTTGTTTGGCTGTTCTTTTGTAATCCACCTGGTTGTTGTTGCCTGAAGGATAGGCAGGGCCAGCTGCGGAGGCGTAGTTAATGAAAATGCTGGTGCAGATGCTTTAAAGGACACTTGGTGTTTTGGTGCTGAAACGGCGTGCTGTGCCACAGACTCATTTGGAGATCTCACGTACAGTTCTTAAGACAAAAATACAACTTCGCTGACAGGTACAGTGGTAGTGTTACTGGAGTTGTTTTGTTCTTCCAATGGAAAAGTAAGTTTGCTTGGACTTTTTTTTTTTTTTTTTGGCATTTTGTTTGAGACTGTAACTTGATTAATTTCATGCTTGTCTTAAAATTCATAACATTTTGGAATGGAGTCGGAGAGTTCAGTGACTGAAGTTGTGTTTGTTCTTCATTAGAAGGGTTTTTAGGCTTATATGTATGTAGTAGATGATCCTTAATGATTCTTATACTGTTGATTGCAGGAACATAGAGAAGTTGCGAGACGGTTCTTTTTCTTTTGCGTTTCCTTGACTATTAAATGGGAAACTAGCACATAAGATGGACATTGCAATTATGAGTAAGTATGTAAAGCATGAATTGTTTAGATCATGCAGGAGCAGTGTGGCTTATCTTTGATGTGACTTGCAATCTCAATTTAGTCTTTGTCCACTTCATTGTGTAACAACTACGAGAAGCCTTTGGAAGAGCGAGGCAGACACTATGTTTTTACCTGTAACTTCTCTCTCCTCCTTAGATATTACTTTTTCTCTCCTAGCTGAATATCCACAAAGCAAACCAACTTACAGTTGTCCTCTTGCCTTTCCCTCCTTTGCCTCCTAGCGGAAGGTTATGCTGCCTTCCAAGAGGACAGTTCTGGCGATGAAGCTGAAAGTCCTTCCAAGTTGAAGCGGTCCAAGGGAATACATGTCTTCAAGAAACCCAGCTTTTCCAAAAAAAAGGAAAAGGATTTTAAAATAAAAGAGAAACCCAAAGATGAAAAACACAAGGAAGACAAGCATAAGGAAGACAAACACAAAGAGAAGAAGTCGAAAGACTTAACTGCAGCAGATGTTGTAAAACAGTGGAAAGAGAAGAAGAAAAAGAAAAAGCCAATTCAAGAGCCAGAGATACCTCAAGTGGATGTTCCAAGTCACAGACCTGTGTTTGGCATTCCGTTGTCTGACGCAGTAGACAGGACCATGATGTACGATGGCATCCGCCTGCCTGCAGTTTTCCGTGAATGTATAGATTACGTAGAGAAGTATGGCATGAAGTGTGAAGGCATCTACAGAGTTTCAGGTATTCTGAGCGTGCTGATGTACGGGTTCTTTAGTTTGCATTTGTCTTCTTGTTTTACCACTTTAAACACCTAGAGATTTAAAGCTGCTTTGATTTTAATTAGTGAAAAAATAATCAGGTGGCTAAAGCTAAGCAAACCCTAAAATGCCAGAAATGTTGCTCGTGTCATGGTACTGCTTAAAGGCAGTAAAAATATCTTTAAATTGACCTGTTGTGATAGGATGATGGTAAGTATGAATAAAATGCGCTGCATTGGCAAGCTTGTATTTTTTTTATTTTTATTACTTCTGCATGAGAAATGCTGTGCTAGTTGATGGCAAAAGCAAAGATGAGAAATAACCATTTTGTGACTTAAGCTTCTCACTGTTGCTTTTTCCTGTGTATATTTTTCTTCTTAAAAGCTTCTTTTGTTTGGGCAAAGTCACTAATAAGCAGAAAATGCAAGTTTCACATTTAAGCTTAGCCACTGCAGGGTAATTAACCACAGTAGTTGTGTAACACCTACTTACATAAAGCAGCGTGGTCTGTAGTCGAGTTAAACAAAGCAGTCCTTTTGTGAACTCTGTGCAGTGAAATCCAAGCAAGGACTTCAGCGTGCACATTTAAGGGAGCAAAAACAAAAAGTGAGAAAAGGAACCTGGGGGAAAGCACCTGGGACAAGTTACTACCAGTGCTGCAAAGCAGTAATCAGACAATTGCTGAAGGCTTCATTAAGCTGTCCTTATGCTGATGGTCTGCATGGTACTTGGTCGGGATGCTCAGCAGTTTCTTTGTCTCATCTGTGGGATCATTCTGGCAGTACTTTTTTTTCAGGGTATGCTGCATTTGGAAATGTTCATGGAAGGTTTGTTTTCCATATGGTGTTCTTGATGTTTATACAGGTTTACATGTTTATATGATGTCCAGGTGTTCTCCAGTGCAATAGCACCCTCTGGTGTGTGCAAGAGTACTTAAATTGAGAGCTCTGAAAGGCAGTGGCCTAAAGTGTACAGCACTTGTGATGAGTAACATATCTGGACCTGAAATAGAGCACATTTTAGCTGGCATTTACTGTGGGCTGGGTGCACCCAGCTTTGTTCATTGTACCAGAGCCAGATACAGTAAGTCAGAGAAAGTCAAATGGGTATTTGAGCTTTAAGAAAGAAACTTTTCTGACTTACAAAAGATCTGAATGTCACTGAGTTGTAAAACTACTGTGCAAAAAATACTGGCAAGGCTGAATAATGACATGAACACCTCTTTATTTATACTTTGCCTTAAACCAAAATGCTGTGTGAGATTCCTCTAGCTGGAGACCTAGAAACTAAATTGTGTGGGATTGGTTTCACAGAGGCTCTTCTGAGAAGAAGGCTCTTGTAGAATTTGTTGCGCAGTCTTGGAGTTGATAAGGCCATATTTGCTTGGTTTAGGGCCATGTTTGGTTTAGGGCTGTTATTGAGTAAATCGAGAGAAGTTGAATGGAGAGAAACAACAAGGGGAATCAACTTTTTACAAGGGTTGACAGTGATAGGACAAGGAGGAATGCTTTTAAGCTCAAGGCAGGAAGGTTTAGATTGGATGTCAGTGGGAAGCTGTTCACAAAGAGAGTGGGGAGGTGCTGGAACAGGCTGTCCAGAGAGGCTTTGGATGCCCAGTCCCTGGAGTTGTTCACGACCAGGTTGGATGCAGCCCTGGGCAATTTGGTCTAATACCAGATCTGGAGGTTGGTGGCCCTGCCTGTGGCAGGGGGTTGCACTTGGTGATCCTTGAGGTCTCTTCTAACCCAAGCCATTCTGTGATTCTCTGAAACATGCATTACTCTCTCATTCCTCACCTATTTCATGTTCTTCGATGTAAAGGAGCTGCTGGGCCCAGCTGATTTGGAATGACAGCAGTGCTGGGTTTGGGCCTCATAGCAGTGCTCAGTGCTTTTAGATACAGTGTTAATCAAGTTAATCCCGAGTTGCAGTTTTAACTTTGTCACATATGAATAGACTTTGAAAGGTATTTTCAATTAGTTTAATTTGCAAGGAAAAGAGAAATAAGTGCTTTTCAAAAAAAAAAAAAAAAAAAAAAGACATAACTATTATGCACACAGAGTTGAAGAATTGTCTTTATTTAAATGTTTCAGGAATAAAGTCAAAAGTTGATGAGCTGAAAGCAGCCTATGACCGAGAAGAATCTCCCAACCTGGAAGAATACGAGCCCAACACAGTAGCCAGCTTGCTGAAACAGTACCTACGAGAACTGCCTGAAAACCTGCTGACCAAAGAGCTAATGCCCCGCTTTGAAGATGCTTGTGGAAAGAGCACAGAAGCTGAGAAAGTCCAGGAGTGCCAGAGGCTGCTGAAAGAGCTGCCCGAGTGTAACCATCTCCTCATTTCTTGGCTCATTGTGCACATGGACCACGTTATCGCAAAGGAACTGGAAACAAAAATGAACATCCAGAATATTTCTATAGTGCTCAGCCCTACTGTCCAGGTACGTGCCCCACACAAGTGCTGGAGCAGAGCGTCAGCACAGGAAAGGCTTCTTTATAGGGGTTCTCTTGCAGGTGTGAGTCAGGCACCGTCTGACACAGTTAAGCTGAATTAAAGCTCTTCTTTATACTTTGGGAACATAAAATGCACAGAAGGTGGGGGGGGAAGGCTTTCTGAAGGTGAGTTTGCATAGCGTGGGCCTGATATCAGCTATTATGAAAACACTGCAAAGACTGCTGACAGGGCTTTTTGATTTTATTTTATTCAACATTGAATTCATCTGGTAATTCAAACGAATGAAGAATTTCTGGGTTTCTGACACAGTGATGACTTAATGAAGACTATTCTGTTGCTCAGTTTCACTATCAAGCCACGGAACCCTGTGCTGCAAACAGATCTTGTGATGACTTGGTTATAATGGCTGTGGTGTCTGCAGTCAGATTGCTGACGTGTTTTCTAGGAAGGTTTTGGTGGTTTCTGGACTGGTTAATTCCTTAATAAACAACTTTGTATTAAATGCAGCTCAGAATCAGTCCTGTCCATGCCACTGGAAACAGGGCAGTGGGTGTGGGCGGTCTAGAAGAAAGTCCACCTGTCAGAAAAGCACTGCTTTATTAAGAGTCCGTGTGGAGGCCTAGTGGGACAAGGGCTGTTCTTCTCTGCTGTTTTGCTGTGCCAGTTGTTTTCTGTCAAAAAGCAACAATTAATGTAAAATGATGCAGGCCCAATCATGCCTCATTGTTGAGTAGATTTTAGCAAGTAAAATACAGGCAGAGACAGAATTCTAATCCTTCTTTCAGGCCGTGTTTTTAAATTTTAATGGAAGGTACAGCATCAGAATAAATATTTGCTTCTGTCTCATTTTAAAGCAAGGAATGTGGTAGCAGCTCCTTTCAAACAATTTTTTTTAAAAACTGTTTTAAATCTGAGAGAGAAGTTGGTGAAAATACTGAAGTTTTGGGAGGAGAGAGAAGGCAGCCATCTGTAGCACAGTATGTTTGGTGTTCCTGCTTACCTGTTGCTATCACTTCCATCTTTGTGTGAGCAAAAAGAAAGAGATGGTCAGAGAGCTGGAGCATCTCCCCTTTGAGGACAGGCTGAGAGCTGGGGCTCTCTTGCCTGGAGAAGAGAAGGTTCTGGGGGAACCTTATAGTGGCCTTCCAGAACCCGAAGGGAGCCTACAGGAAAGCTGGGGAGGGACTTTTTATAAGGGCAGGTAGTGACAGGACAAGGGGAAATGGCTTTAAACTGGCAGAGGGTAGTTTTGGACTAAATATTAGGAAGAAATTCTTCACTGTGAGGGTGGTGAGACACTGGAACAGTTTTCCCAATGAGGCTGTGAGTGCCCCCTCTCTGGAAGCACTGAAGGCCAGGCTGGATGGGGAGGTCTAGAGGGAGGTGTCCCAGCTTATAGGACGGAGGTTGGAAACAGATGATCATAAAGGTCCTTTCCAATCCAAACCCATTCTGTGTATTTGCAAGTGATGGAAGGCTGTTGCATTTCTGGAGAAAGATGCTGTGCTTCACGGGTGCAGATTATGTGAAGAAATCATCCTAACCAGAGTTCTCATCTTCCGTGCTCTTCCTTTCAGATCAGCAACCGTGTCCTGTATGTATTTTTTACACATGTTCAAGAGTTCTTTGGGAATGTGACCCTAAAACAGGTAACAAAACCTCTTCGTTGGTCAAATATGGCGACCATGCCGGCACTACCAGAGACACAGGAAAGCATCAAAGAAGAAATCAGACGACAGGTTGGTGAATACTTCAGTTGTTTGGTTTTGTCCTGGATTTAATAAATTCAGCAGTAAACTTTCAGAAGAGTGTAATTGTGTCACAATTGTCCTGTTGTGGGATGCCACCTGCTTTGAAAAGCAGAACTCCACACCTTTGTCATGAAGCCAGTGCTGTATTTTTTCCCCTGCTCTGTCTAAGGACACTAATTGCCTTGGTAATATTTCTAGGAGTTCCTACTGAACTGTTTACACCGAGACTTGCAGGCAGGGATAAAAGACTTATCCAAAGAAGAGAGACTCTGGGAGGTGCAAAGAATTTTAACAGCTCTTAAGAGGAAGCTGAGAGAAGCCAAGAGACAAGTGAGTAGCTTGCAATTTATTGCCCAAAGGTAGATGGTAGATGGAAATGAGCTGGGAGTATTTCTAACTGCAGCGATTCTTCCCCAAGTTTCATGACTGTCGGTTATTCGCTGCTCATCCCCATTTCTTGGGGTGCATCATTCAGCCTTACTGCCTGGCCCAGTAGCTCAAAGTGCCACGACTGTGAGATGGTTCTATAACCATTGATTGGGGGCTTCTAATGCTCACAGATTGTGACAGGTAGGGAATTCTGGTACTCTGGGGGTTTTAAGTTGGATTTAGAAAGCGTGGCTGCCACCAAAGCCTTTCATTATGCTTTCCTGCTCTGCTCTGTGACTTTTAGCATGCAAATTCTTAAGAGAAACATAAAGTTACATTCTAGAATTAAATTTGCAGATTTCTGGTATTACTTACAGTACTCTTGTGAAAACGTAAGAATATAACTAGATTTTTAGGGAAAAGTGGGCCATTAATGACTTGATACAGCTGTGACAGTTGTGAAAGCATTCCCCAAGGTACACAGAGAGACACAGATAAACCAGGCAGGCATTGGGGAGTGTGGGTGTAGCATAGCTTAATAATGCTGTGGGCTCAGTGGAAAAAAGAATCATTTGAGCCTTTGCTGGAGCACAAGCTTAGTCTCTTACACTTGTATTCAGGCTGGTATGCTGTAGGTGAAGCAGATATCCCAATTCTTACTTTTCATATGACTCAAAACAAAACATCTGTGCATTCTCACAAAAGATGAGAATGCAATGGAATTAGATCAACCCCCACCCCTTCAATCTTTTCAGTGCATGTCTCTTTGTTCCATCTTAATTCCTAAATGGCTGAGGAGTGGCACCTTCACCCTCCAGATGTTTTTAAAACAGTGCCTGACTAAAACAGCATTTGACAGAGCTCATATCCACTCCATGCTTAACACTGTGTGTTCTGGCCCAACAAAAGGGATGACTGAAGGCTCAGGTGAATGAACTTCCAGCAGCATTTTTTAAACTGTGCTGTGACCCAGAGCACTGGGTGAGCAGTGAACGCAGCCATTTTGTTTTGCAAATGCTGAAATTAAAAACATCTTCCTGAAAACTTTTCAAAACAAGAGTTATGATTCTAAATTTGAAAAATAATATGTTGAAAAAAACCTCTCCATAACAGTGACTAGTAAGTGGGGCAGGAGGCCTTTTCAGAACTGTCCTCTTTCTCTGGCAGGAGTGTGAAACAAAGATTGCACAAGAAATTGCCAGCCTTTCCAAGGAGGATGTCTCCAAAGAAGAAATGAATGAGAATGAGGAAGTTATAAATATTCTACTTGCTCAGGTAAATGGCAAGCACACAGCAGTTTGTATGCTGTGTTTTCGTGTTCTGCATCTGTCAGTTACTAAGCATGTAGTTATTCCTTCTAATATAATTGAAAACATAAGGGGCTTAAATGGGCCTCTCAGTCTCTCTGTTAAAATCCGAGGCTTTGTTTGAGTACAAAATAAAGCAGGGAAAGCATGCAGACTGCAGGAGTGTGCCTGAAGCTGAGCAGGCTGCTGTTCAGGCAGAGAGGAGATGGTGTGCAGCAACAAGTAGGCTTTGTTGTTCACGTGCTTGGAAAGCAGTGACCACAGTTAGGACTGTTAACTCTTTTCCTGCTGATCAAAGGGAAATAAGGCAGCTCTTTTGGCATTTGTGCCTGCCTTGACTGGCCTCAAGAGCTTTGATCTTCCTTCTGCTGCACTTTTCTCTCACTATAAATCTTCAAAGACCTAGGTTTGAATTTAGCTTCTGTGGGTTATCCCAGAGCTTTCCCCTGTGATTTAAGGCAGCAGGCAGCTGCACATCCAGAACTCGGTGCGTCATCCCCACAGCTGTTCAGCACAGCCATCACCTTGGGGATTCAGAGCAGACATTGGTGGCTTTGAACCTAGAGTTGGGCTGAAGTCTTTGCTGACTCAGTGCCAAGCAGGCACGCTAAGTACTTCTGAGAGCAGCTCAGGGAACAGCATCGCCGCCTCCCAGGGCACAGCATTAGAGTCATCCTCAGTGCATGTTCCCACAGAACATAAAGCCAAGGCTGTAAGTCAACTAATTGCTTGTTGCAGGAGAATGAGATTTTAACAGAGCAAGAAGAACTGCTGGCCATGGAGCAGTTTCTGCGGAGACAAATAGCCTCAGAGAAGGAAGAAATCGATCGCCTTCGTGCAGAAATAGCTGAAATACAAAGGTAAAAGGGAGACTGCTTGCCTCAGCTCCCCAGCCAGCCATGCACTCTGGGGAAAAGTAGCAAAACTAAAGCACACTTAAAAGATCACTCTGTGCACATCAGCACGTTTGCAAGCTGATTCCTTTTATTGAAACCTCTGCATCTTTTTACCTTTTGGGATATTTTCTGATAGTACAGCAACGAAGTTATGATCTAATGGGAGCTAGACCTTTGCACCACAAAAAACATCTCCACAGGAAATCATGGATTGGTTAAACCAAACCCTAATTTTGTTTTCAAAGCCACTTTAGATTATTCAGTGAACGTGAGCAAACTTAATGTGTTCCAGTCCTGGCAAATGTGAGCAAGTGTTGTGATCTCAGCTTGTCATTGCTCTTCCAGTCGCCAGCAGCATGGCCGGAGTGAAACAGAGGAGTATTCTTCAGAGAGTGAAAGTGAGAGTGAGGATGAGGAGGAGCTGCAGGTCATCCTGGAGGATTTGCAGAGGCAGAATGAGGAGCTGGAGGTAAGATAACTTGAACCTTAGGATTAATGGGCACTCTCCCCCATAGGGGACAGATCATTTTGTGTTGGTTTTGCCCAGGGCATGAAATTTGGGTCCATTTTCCAATTGCTGTTGCATGCAAGCCCACGTTGCTGTATTAGCAGCAAAGCGGTGCTGTGTGCAAGGTACAGCCTGGCTGAGGAGCACTGACGTGTGTTTTCCTTACCTAAAAGATAAAGAACAATCACCTGAACCAAGCAATTCACGAGGAGCGAGAGGCCATCATTGAGCTGCGCGTGCAGCTCCGGCTGTTGCAGCGAGCCAAGTCAGAGCAGCAGGCACAGGAGGAGGAGGAAGCGGAAAAGCGTGGGGCTGCTTCTCAGCAGCAAAGGGACGGGGTCCTGGAGACGAAAGCAGCCAAAGAGCAGCCAAAAGCAAGCAAGGAGCAGCAAGTGAAGCCATCTCCAAGCAAAGACAGGAAAGAGACTCCTATTTGATCAGGCTCTTGGGTATTTGTAACGTAACATCAACCACCGTGTGCAAATAACTGACATTTGGGTCAAACTGCACAACTGGTTGCTGGCTGTGCGCATCCTGTAAAGAACTTTGTCTGCTAAGCCTGGAGACTGCTGTCTCTACTCCTTGTGGCTTCTGCTCATCACTCAGGTGAGTGCAGAGAGGCCAGAAGAGTTCTCCAGCTTCTATCAGATTATTTCAAGACTGGTTTCCTTCAGGTGATTTACAATAATTCCGTAACAGTTTTATTTTAAACCAAACCCATTCTTTACATTCATCAGAGCAGAACTGAAGGTCTCATTTCCAGCAAATGAGAGCAAACACCGACACGTACTCATTATTTGCCCCGCGATTCTACTCATTCACCATTATTTCTGCTTATTAACCTCGTCACTTCTTGCTTGTGCCTTTGATACCTTTCTGATGCAGATTATATACATGGGAGCTTTAAATTTATCCTTGGTTGGCTGAAAAGGTGGGAGACTGTGGGGTATCACGTTTACCTGACATGCCCTTAAACTTTTTTTTTTTGTTTTAAGGTGTACTGAATAAATGTGAAACTTGACAGATGTTACTTATGTCTCTGTATGATGGAAACGTTCACCAAGAGCTGGTGGTGTGTGGCAGTGCAGCTGATGCATCTGCTCACTCGTAAACCATCGTCACACCCACGGTGAGACAGGTCTGTGCTGCTGCCCTACAGCAAGGCAGTGCTGCGTTCCTCCCTGCAGGAGCGGCACCAGCTGGAGGCGCCGAGCCCAGCAACAGCCTTGGGCTGGCGTTGTAAGTCAGCCTGGTGGCTGCTTTATTTCCTGCCTCCACCCCTCCGAAACCTTCGGCCCTGCAGGCAGCTGAGGGCCGTTCCTGTTTCTTCGTGACGTTGCTGTCACGAGCGCCCTCTCCGTCGGCCCCTGGGGCAGGTGCAGAGAGCTGCTCTTATTTCTCAATCGGGGTATTTATTTTCAGCACCTGTTGGACGTGGTTATAATTCTGTATCTATTGCACTGTTGTGAAGCATTGGCCATGATTTGATTTTGTACAAATAATGCTTTGATATGTTATAGAAAACTGCATAGTATTTTTTTAAAATTTGGAAAGAAGTTTATAAACACAAAAAGCGGTCAGATGACAGATGTTAAATAGAGCATTCTCCCTTGCCTTCGTTACATACATTTTATATATGCTGGCAATATTTAAACTTTTTTTTTTGTTGTTTCTTTCACACTAATTCCTATTGAATTGTCACGGATTTTTCTAATGTTCTTCAGAAAAATCTCTTAATCTGGTTAACTTTTATTTTGTTAGGATTGTATTTATCAAGCAAATAAATTCAACAGCCATTTGAAAGGAGTTTGGAGATTATCTGCTTCATAATGTACAATGTCTTTTTCTAATGCAGTCAATACTTACGTAGCACCAGGACCTGCTACTCCCCAGACAGGTGTGCTGGATGCTGGGGTTTGAAGCCAAGAATATAAAAAGAAAAAAACCCACCAATCTGAATCTGTCAGAAAGATTTGACAAGGTTGTCATTTTTCAGCATGCAACTCAGCCTCACCCACATTTGGGAAGACGGCAGCTGGAGCGAGCACAGTTCACCAGCAGCAGCAAAAGCCCGCAGTGCTGTTGTTCACAACAGCCTCCAGCAGCTGGAGGCAGAAGCACTGTGAGATGTTGCCAGGCTCACTTACTTGAAGTGGTCTCTCTCAACAAAGAGATCAAAAGAAGGCACAGCAAAACAGCAAGAGGACAGAAATTGCCCAACTCTCCTTTAAGCTTTTGTTGCCATTTGATTCAAACCAAGTCTGCTGGGTTCATTCTTACAGGAAAACCTCAAATAATTAAAACTAACTCCAGTTTCTCTTGACAGTCAAACAGTGCAGCTGTCCTGCTTTTGGCAGCCTCTGCTTTTCACAGTCAGGATTTGGAACCACCTGCAGCTACGCCTTTAGAAATAGCTGGCATATAGAAATATCACTGCCCTGCAGCAGAAATAGGTGACAGCGTTTAAAGCAAACTGTTCATGACTGGAGAGCTGTGAGATGGTTAAAAAACTGTTTACTTACCTTCACAGTGCAGTTCAGTCAGCTGGAAATGGTCCTACAATCAAACCCTACAGCATTTCCATCACCTCAAACTCTCATTTCTTCTGATCCAAATTCTGTTTAGCAGAACTGAAAGGCAGAGTCTGAAAGCACTGATGGGGGGAGCTGACATGACAGCCAGCTCTGCATTCAGACAGGAGGGCTGCCAGACTCATGCAAACACCTCTTTGGTCAGGCTGAACGTTGCCCGCTACTCTGCAGCCCTCACAAGAACAGGATCTTACCCCCAAGACCAGGAATTTGTACAGCAGCCCCATGCTGTTCCAAATAGCAAATACTAATTTGGTAGTTGGCCCCTGAAGGCAGCGGCAGAACTTCCTCCTTTTGGGAAAGGTAGACTAACAGATGACAGTTTAGGAGCTACCTCTCTTTCTGTTCAATGCTGACCAACAAAGGACAAACGTAGATATGCAGCCTGAATCCTTATTGAGGGAGAAGCGTGGACTTCCACCAGAATTGAAGAAATAGAAAGCAAAGAGAAACAGCATCTGAAGACCAATATCACTTTTTTCAACTTAGATGTATCTTACCTCTAAGAGAATACCTGAAGGCAGCAGAAGTGATGCTTGGCTGTACTGGGTTACAGCAACACCACGTCACAAAGGCAGAACAGCCGCACACGAGAAGTACAGGAAAAGCCTAACAAACATAACCAAACCACACCACCAGTCACAACAAACCCAAGCTTCAAAGCAGACAGAAGTGACTCTTTCTTAACCAACTCCATGGTGGCACTCAGGAGTCAAACAGTGGGTCGGTGGGGAATAAATTGCAACTTCCTACTTACTAGAGAGGAAAGTGCCAAAGAATTTGTTTTCCCAAGAAAACAAGGGGGAAACAAGGAGACACCTCCTTGAGCTTAACCTGTCAGGGGATCGGGCACCCAACTGATAAATGAAAATGTTCTGCCAAAATACATGAAGGACAAAGCTGCCACAGCCACCTCTACCTCCTCAGGAAAGTACGCTTCTCACATTTGAGGTTGCGCAGGCTGGAGGAAAAGGAGCGAAAAGCAGCTGCCCCTGGAAGACAAAGAAGTGGACACTGTAGCAGTCATCTTACAGGAGAGGAAGTAAAAGCAGCCAAAGGACAGCATGCACTTTAAGTGCAATGTGGGCTTACAGTTTTAAGTCTGAACAGAGGCGGCTGTTCGGATTCACCTCGGCAAAGACATGGTTTCACACCAGAGCAGTGGGCTGCCCAAGCAAACCCGGGCTTCTTGAGAGAGAACCTAGCAAAACCTCACCTGCATGACCAAAGTGCATCCACTGTGCTGTACACATCATCTCAAAGTGCAGAATCCTTAAAGAATCCCCTTTCCCCACGCAGTCATCAGAGTAAGGAAAGCGGGGAAAAATAGATACGAATTTTAAACTTACTCTTTTAATGTCTGAAAAAGGTCACAAGATTGTTTTCAATCTTATTATTAAATTTTATTTGGACAAGTAGAGAACAACTTGTATCACAACAGCTTTAAACAACATGATTAAAGACTGCAGCGCTCCAAGGAGGCTCACAGATATGTACAGTAAATGAAGAAAAACGTTGCACCTCAGAGCTGATCACGATCAAGTTAAAAATACCTGACTTAAAGTATATGTGCTAATAAATTTCCTTTAGGTCATGACCAGCATGAAAATAATTAGGACACAGGTACTCAGCAAAGTTTTCTGCTAATGGGCACAGCAATATGCTGCATTTAAGGATTAAAATCAAATTCTAGTTTAGTGTTAGCACTGAGCCCTTAAGAGAAATCCAAATTTTTACCTTCCCCATTGACACACATGAAAGCTATTCCCACTTAAGGGTGTGCCCAGCTGCACACAGATCGAGTCCTCGAACAATAAAATCTCTGAGCTCTAATACTGGAGGTCTCACGTCCCGGTACAGATTTGCCTTTCCAGCCATCTCACCTATCAGTTGCTACAGAAAATACTTGCTAAGTTAACTCCTCAGGAGAAACAACGCAGGTCTCTGGAAATCACATCCTTTCTACAATGAAAATGATCTGCCAATTCAAGTTTTATTTGTTCAGGAAGACAGAAGATTTAAGGCTTCGGTGGCAAAAGTAATCCTCTGAGCAGTGTTTTTTCTCAAGTCAAGCTGACATAAGTAGGCTTACATTTTCTTGATTTAAATCCCTGGCATCAGGTTCAGATAACATCCACCTGTTCGTTCTGGCAAGAAATGTCTCCTTCCAAAGAGGTTGTCCTCTATCAACCATTTTAGAAGCACGAGGATATTTTGTTTCCATCTTTGTTTTTTTAATTACAGCAACATTCAGGAGATTTTCAATAGGTGGATGAAGCAGTGCTCATGGCATCGTCTGCTATTTTGGTACTGGCAGGGTGTATGCTTGCAAAGTACTTGACATCGCTGTCGTCGTCCATTTGCAGCGCCATGATTGTCTGCTCCACAGCTTCTTGATGAGAGTTGGCCGAATTTAGAAAATACTCTGTAAGAGAAAACAAAGAAGTCTTGGAGGAACGAAGGGCAGCAGACACCTCAAGGCAAACCTCAGCATGCAGTCCACAGGGCTCAAAATCCAGGAGACAAACAGTGCACACGTATGGTCAAGCTGCAATGTCTGAGCAGGCCCACAGCTCCGCTCCAGCACATCCATACATTCATTTACAAAACAAACATCATTCTGGATTTCTAATCAGAGTTTCCTTAGCAGCGCTGGTAAAAGTACAAGATTTCTATGGCCCATCAATAAAAGAAGAACAGATTCCATGGCCAACAAGGGGCAAACAGCACACACACTGGACTTGGAGGGAGCGTGCTTGTATTTGTGATGAAGGGAAGGTATTACAAACCCGCAATCATGCCATTCCATCTTACTGGTAGACTTGCCAAATAGTTATCAAACAGAATAAAGAAAATATTTAATAAGAGTGGAAGAAGCCCCAGTATTGGACAGTTCTCACAAACTACGCAACACAAGTTGCACAAAAACCGCATAATTATAGATTGCTCATAGGAAGGGCAATTCAGATCTGAGGTGCAAAGGACTTCTGAGTTTACTTTTTTGTATCTACCTTTCATAATCTGCCCCCCACCCCTATCACACACACAGTGTGTGTCCCTGAGGCAGGGACTGCCTGCATGACGGGCTCACACAGTGGCAATACAGAATGGAGTTGTACGATCCAGGAGGGGAACACAGAAATATTGAGGCCAACAAAATCTCAGACTATTGTAAGAGGAAGAAGAAGGGCAGCCTTGGCACAGTTAGGAGAGGATAACAAACCACCGCACGTCAGCTGATCCACAAAACTGCATATGCTTACTCAGAGCCTCCAGCATACACATGACAGCTAGTGATAGCCTACTGCTCACTGAGTGGGCATCCTCTGTGCTGTTCTAAACATTTTGCATTTCAGTCACACCACTTCCATCTTCCCAAAAGTCTTCTATGATAGAATGGCAGTCCTCAAGCCAGTGTATGTATTTTGAGGAAGAAAGTGGCCAGAAATGAAGTAGAGTTCAAGTGCAGAACTCTGCTGGTTTACAAACTCTCTAATGCTATTTTCCATTACAGTACTTTGGAATGTGAGCACTGCTGCCTCTTCTGGCAACTGCTACGCTCTGGGGATCCCTTCCTAAGCACAGTCTGCAATTTGAACACAGCATATCCTAGTTCCCCTGAACAGACACCAGAGAAACTTCCTTCTCACTGCTACCATAAACCATAAAAACAAACAGCAGTCATCTCTTCCACCCCAGTGAGAGAACAGATGCTAGATTTGTGTTGAAGGATTTTGTCCTTCAATCACACTTGCACATCATTCATGCATACTTTCTGTACCCCGATTACTCCTACGACCCAACTCTTTCAAAAAAAATGGGGCAGGAAAAGCCATGAGCGTGACCTCATACTTTCCAGCATTACAGAACTGTGGCTCTGATGACACAATGAGGTTTAAGGTTTATCTCAGTTAAGGTAACACCCCACGCCAAGGAGACTGGAAAGGCAACAGTGACCCGCATCTCATGCTGTTTCATCTTTCCCAGCTGGCCATAGGAAAGCAGAGGGACAAAAAGACATGCAGTCAGCCCACTGCAACAACTTCTGACCACTAACCTTTCTCTAAGAGTGTTTGTTTTAAGGTTTTTGCAAGCAGGACTCGAACGTTTGGAACCCTGTCAGATGCCAAGTGTAGTAAGTGTGGCAACAGATGCACAGCAAACTGGTCCATGGGCAGGCAGTCATCTTCACTGATAGTCTGGCAAGAAGACAGATGCAATTTCATTACATTTCAGCACAGTGAAGACAAAATCCCAACACATAATCAGAGCTGACAGATCTCATAACCTTTCTAGCATGAATACAATGTGCAGCAGTCACTATGTTTTACAATACGATGCAATATTTTCTAGCACAGTCACACACTATGAACTAGATTAGGGCTGAGAAAACTCACGCTTAGCTGGAAGCCCCTTTTATTTTGTATGAAGTCTCAATTTCTCATTTTTTATTTTTAAACACTAACATTTGAAATCGGGGGGAAAAAAGCGAAAGACTTTCCCCTTTATTTTGTAAGAATGACTCTGTCTTTGTTGGAACCAGGCACCATATTCAGGGGAGGATGGTTCATCACAGTTAACATCCGCTTATCCCAACGCGTCTCTAAATAAGCTCGAATCTCACATTCCTCCAAGTGCTTCAAAGAACTGTCCTGTTTAAGTTACAGTCACACTGACTCACTGTCAGCACCTCTGCTACAGCCCCAGATTTGACCATTTCCTTCTGATTTTTGAAGGGAGCGTATAAACAGGAAGGGGAACAACTGTTTACATGGGTGGATAGAGATAGGACATGGGAGATTGGTTTTAAACTGAGACGGGAGGTTTAGGTTGGATATTAGGAGGAAGTTTTTCACACAGAGGCTGGTGACACACTGGAACAGGTTGCCCAAGGAGGCTGTGGATGCCCCATCCCTGCAGGCATTCAAGGCCAGGCTGGATGTGGCTCTGGGCAGCCTGGTCTGGTGGTTGGTGACCCTGCACACAGCAGGGGGGTTGAAACTAGGTGATCATTGTGGTCCTTTTCAACCCAGGCCATTCTATGATTTCCTTCTGCATATTTTGCTGAGAACACATTGTTCTCAACCAACTTGCACCAGCTGGCTAAGGAAGCGCAGGCAACTCTGAGAACTTCATTTCTCAATGATTATCCCAAAGCACCAGGCTGCTGCATCATATTAAGAAGATCCCAATTCATGCTGAGCAAGGAAGAGTCCCAGTTCAAGGATTCTTCTATTCAGTGTTTGTTTGATATTCAAACTGACCTAAGCTAAGCTAGAGATGCATGTAAGCTCCTGCATGGAGCAACACTGAAGGATGCAGCCATAAAAACTATTCCCTTGGCAACAGGATCTCAAACAACCAATCAACATCAACAGACACTTAAATACTTCCAGCTGCTTACTCCCCCTTAATCCTACCTATCAAAATAATAGTAGTAATAATAATAATTTTAAACAAACAATAACAAAGACATTTCACCTGGCAGATAAAGACAAAAGTTTGCCGGCCAGACCATTTGCGGCATCTACAGAACTTTTCAACAAGTTCATTCATGAGGTCTACCACAAACGTTGACGTTGAGGCCATGTACAGCTTTTTTACCATTTCACTAACCTAGAAGAATACAGAGATAAAAAACACAAAAATTATTTCTGACCACCAACCCTGAGGAGTCTGATATCCTGAACTGACTTAGATTGCTTTACCAGCTTGTAAGAAATCCAGCGGACAGAAGACACTTTGTCTGCACAGAGGCTGAAAGCGATAGGTCGCAAGTAGTCATAGATGTCTCTGGCACTGTACAGATCTAGAAGTAAGATCAGCTGCCTACAAGATGGAAGAAAAACGAAAGAGGGTATTAGAATAGTAAGAAAGGTATCGATGGCTTGTACTGATTACACTTGCCAAGGTGGTGACGCACTGGAACAGGCTGCCCAAGGAGGCTGTGGATGCCCCATCCCTGGAGGCATTCAAGGCCAGGCTGGATGTGGCTCTGGGCAGCCTGGTCTGCTGGTTGGCAGCCCTGCACAAAACGGGGATTGAAACCAGATGATTGTTGTGGTCCTTTTCAACCCAGGCCATTCTATGCCACATAATACAATAGAGCCATAATAAAGTGACTCAGAAGTAAAACCTTCTATACTTCAACGCAGTCAGCTTCACCGGGGGTCACCTGCAAATTTTACAATTGTCATTTGTTCACCCTAATAGTAAAATGCTGAATGAGCTCAACAAATGGAAGACTAGGGAAGAGGTCAGGGATCTGAAGTTGCACTTCCAAGACAGGGATCCAAATATGGGCCACAACATCCACGCAGCAACACTGTGGATGACAGCAGTGTGCACAGGCATTCTTAGCACCCTGCACAGACAACCTGCAGAGCTACAGACCAACTCTAGTGACTTCAGTGATCGAGGATACCTACCAAAATAAGTAGCCTTCTTAATCAAACTCTGCTTCAGAGCATGCTGGGCAGACAGAGAACTTGTCCGTTTTCTCCAGTGTGCATCAAGTTGATAAAGATTTGAGCAGGTTGCAGATACAAGTATGAACGGTAAAAAGCGTGCCAAAAGGGGGGTCATATCATGCTACAAGCAGCCAATTGAATGCTGCCATAGCAGCAGCAACACATAAGTGACCTGCAGAAAACCTCAAGAGGACTCTAGCCCAGATGCCTGCGCAAGCAGGGTCAGCTGTGACACAGATCTGCCTGCTCAGGTCTTGAGAATCACCAGGAATGGAGCCTGCGCAGCCTCCCTGGATGCCTGCACCCTTGCCTGACTGTCCTTGGAGTGAAATTTTTTCCCTTAATTCCAGTCTGAATCTCTCATTTCACTTTAAATCTACTGTTTCTTATCCTCCCATCACATACCACTGTGCAGAGTCCAGCTCTGTCTACTCTATAATCTCCCCATAGGGTTCCAGATTACTCTTAGTGTCCCCAAATTCATCTTATATCCAGGCTGAACAAGCCACAGTCCCACAGTCTCTTCTCACATGGCAAGTGCTGCAGCCCTGATCATTCTGGGGTCTCCTCTGTTGAACTTGTTCCAGTTTATCAGCATCTTTCCTGTACTGGTGGCCCAATAAAAATGTACATTACTTCAGATGAGATCTAGTGAGTGCTGACCATACGAGGAGGTTAATCTGTTCCCTCAATACACTGACTGCTTTCGTCACAAAATCATCCACCTTCAGCAACAGCTCTGTGTTTTCTTTGTTCTTTCACTGCTCATGTAGCAGTAGAAACTCTTGTTGCCCTTGATAGCACACAAATTTCAGCTCCAGTTCAGTTTTGGCTTTCCTAATACAATCCTGCATGCCTGAGTAATGTTTCCAAACACCTTCTGTGCACCCTGCACTTGACACCTTGTCTTTACCTCTTCTATAATCGTTCTGCATTCAGGCTCAGTCCTGAGTTCACTTCTTAGCCAAGCAGAGCTCTCAATAAATCTTGCTCTTCTGAGCACCGAGACAGACCTGTCCTTCACTTGGAAGATGCTGTTTTAAAAATACCTGCTTTCCTGAGCAACTTGGCCTTTTGGAGCTGCCTCCCATAGGATCCCACCTACCAATTCCATGAAGAAGCCAAAGTCATCTTACACGGTCCAGTACTCCTGCTGCTTGCTTGCTCTAGATCTTGGTTTCATGGTCATGAGCTCAGACTCAGCAATATGAATTACTAGAACACTCCTATGACCAAATCTGGCCCCTTTTTTTTAAAAAAGAAACACCAGTGTTTTCAACACAGTGATGAAAAGACATTCAGCTTCAAACTACTGTAAATGATATACAACTACAGGGAATTTTTATGCAAGGGAAACAAGTTGAAGATAAAGACAGTCCATTAATTCTAACTGGATGAAGAATGACACTTAAAGACATTGGCTTTTATGATTTTGACATTTTTAGATACCCACAACAAGCACCCAGAATACAAGCACCACATACTCAGCCAGCTCTGCACGGAAACGCCAGTTCCTGCTGTTATCAGTCACTAAGAATTCCTGGAGCTGATAAAGATATTCTCTTCTTTTGTCCAGATGAAGCAGCTGTAAAAATAAATACAAATTTATAGGAAGAAATATAGGTTGCAAACATCCAGAGGCAGAACAAGAGCTGCAAAGTACAATTGACTGAACACTTATTTTGATTTTTACAAATTCACCTTTAGCAGTAACGATGCTTTGCTGGGCTAAACTCTATTACGCTTACATCAATAAAGTCCCAGGGGGCACGATGAAATGCAATATTCTTTCCATATGCCTGTAAAGGATTACACTGCTGCTATGTTAAATAAGCACACAAAGAAATAAAGCAAAAATGCGTGGTCCCACTGGGCCAAAAATGAACACAGACATACCTTTAGAAAGTCATGCAAATGTTTAAGCACGCCTATCCTGACTTCGTCCAGGTCTTTTAAGAAGCCATTGAAGACAGGAACTAAATCCCCAGCTGTAAGTTGGTCTCCAAGGATGACAGCAAGTTCGTGTATAGAAAATGCCAGCGTCCGCCGAACTTTCCACTGAAATAAGTTGACAAATAAAAGAATAAATCTGACTGATGGATCAGATGAAGTGCTCTATTTTAACCTGGTGGTCAATATATTGGCTGGCTCTCCAGAGAACGACGACACTTACAAATCCCAGACAAATGATGAGGTGTCATTCCTTCCACCTGAAGATTCAGGAGCTCAGTTACACATCCTTTTGTTTAAATCAGTCCCATACAACTGTTCCTTCACTCAAAACTTGTAAAACAGAACATGGAAGACATCCCACAGTCCTTCAGCTGGGATCTTTCAGTATCATAGAGTGGCTTGGATTGGAAAGGACCCTCAAGGATCATCAAGTTCCAACCCCTTACAACTTCCTTAATAAGTAAAGATTCACCCACGGAGAGCTCCTAGAAGTCCAAGGATCAGTGGAGCTTTTACTTAACCAAAATCAAGTAACTGTTCACACTGCATGCTTTCAAAAGCTAAATAGCATCTCTTCTTCAGCACCTTCCAGTAAGTATGGGTACTGGCTTTTTTCCACCCTACTTTGGTGATTCAGTCTTAATTTGGATTAGAATGGCAATGAAACTTTGAACAGCGTTGAAGACAGAGTAATGTATTTTTATGCATGTTTTAAATTTATTAGCCACTTGTTTTTAAAGGCTGCACAACAGTTTGGAAAATATGAGCAATGGCTGTGTATAAAATTACTCAGTATGCACCACTAAGAATTGCAGCACTGACATAGCAAGCAACAAGTTCAAGAGGGGTGAAGCAGTCTGAGAATGCTCAAAAAAAGTGAGCATCTCCAAAAAAGGAAGAAAGGAAGGTCTGGGAAACAATTGCAGACCGACAGTGAAATGCACAGAACCACCTCCCTACCACCTAGCAACAAGGAAGACGCTGCTACTTCCTGGGTTTGTTTTAGAAACAGCAATGCTGCACTGAGATAGTGATGTTTTCCCCTTATGACTGAGTGCAGCATCAAAAGGCCTCCAGGTCGCGGTGTGAGGCTGACTCACTGAGCTCCAGACACGCCTGCAGGGACACGAGTCTGCTTGCACACAGCAGCACAACCCAAATTCTTTGACCGATGAGAATCCCAAGCACTGCCATGAGATCTCAAGAGACCAGACATCTTTCCTCACATTCCTACTGAAGATCCATCTCCACAAATGCACTGCGTCCAACAGCCCATTTTCTCACTGCTTGAGAACCACACACTCCCAGCTTCACCTGACATGACAGTTACATTTAACTCGTTATTTGAGTAGCAAGCACCAGTGACAGAGCTCCACTTAAAGAGCAGAGCAACCCAACAACCAGCAAACAAGAGAAATGATCATTATTCACATTATTCAGAGTTTCCTGAGCTTACCTGCATGTCAGATGCCAGTGTCTCATAGGTATCCTTCAAGCAGTGCCAGTTCTGTCTGCCTAATGTGAGTGCCACACCTGGTAGGCTGTAGGCACAGTGTTTGGCAATCTCGGTATCAACAGTTTGTGCGCGAGATGGATCAGTCATTGATAAATACTGATCTAGCAAGGCTTGAGGTACAACGTCCTACAGCAAGAAAAGGGTATTTATTTTCAACAGATCTTCATAAAGTGTATAAAAACTCCAAGGAACACTGTGAGAACATCATTTTTTCCACAACTATAGGTCATTATTTAATGAAATCTTGCAATAAGAATGCAAAAGTTTGACATTTCATACAGTTTCACCAAGAAGTTCCAAAGAAATGACAACACGTGTGGGGGCCGTCAGAAAACACCGACCACTACAGCAGATGAGCAGCAGGTGGATCAGTGTCTACTTAAGCAAAGCAGGAGATGAAACAGACTACCTTTCTCACAAACATTCAGCCTCACAGGCTGTGCAAATCGCCTGTTTTAACTCATCCATAAAATGAGCAAAAGAGCAAATTACAAGACTTGCTTCAAAAATTGTTTTCCTGCTCCTCTCAACATCTTGTCTTCTGGGGGAAGGGAGAGCAGAGAGCCAAATTAACAGGCTGTGGTTGGAGAGAAGTGGAGGCAGAGTATAGGCGGTTCAGTGCTGCCTCCCCAAGTAGTCATCACAAAGGAGAAGGCTTTTCCAGAGACCAAAAGACCAATTTTTCTCCCCCCACTGAGAAATTAAACTTTGGCAAACACCCCTTTGTGTTGACTTCAACACTTTGCTCCAGCTGTTACCATTTCATCTCAGGCACCCATTCTGCCCAATGGGGCGTATCAGAATGCCTCCCTAGCATATCAACAGCTGTTGAACAGCTCAGCTCACAGAAGCCATAAAAGGGTTCCACTCAAACAATCGTGGTTCTGCAGGGATGCACGCATTATACTGAACTAAGAAACAATACAAACTCTTTTTCTTTAGGAAAGGAATGACGGAAACAGCTTGAGTTTA